AGTATGTTAGTGGGCCAATGAGTCCCTTCTCCTTAGTTCTTAATACCACTCCATCTTTAGTAAGAGATGAAATTTACAAAAAAAGAAAAAAAAAGAGAAAAGGAAGGGAACTAGTGTAGGAGGACCTTCCATAACAAACCAGTTTGAGAAGAAATAACACACTTCAAATAGGCTTCTGAGCCCTAAATAGCAAATGCTAGCCCACATGAGCCTGTGGTCCCCACAGCCACAGTTTATCTAAAGGCCCAGTGCTGGGACTCAGCTTCAGATCTCCTGGATCTCTCTGAACAGGAAAATAGAGCAAGATCATTAAAAAAAATAGTGCCAGGATACTCACATTCATAATAATAATAAGAGTCCCCACCAACTTACAAAATTTGGCATAGGATGAGACATTGTTGATTTAGGCAATGTGAACTCATGATGGGGGAAGACACTTTTCGATTTTTAGAACAAAATACTGAGCCTTTGATGTGGGCACATTGGCTGGCTTCTTTCTTTGGGGTGAATCATGGGAAGGTCTTGCTTGTTTGTTTGTCTGCCTGTGTTTTCTGTTTCAGATTAATCTCGTAACTGAAGTTTGTGTTATTGGAAGAGATTCTGACCTTGTTCCCAAAGCCTTAGACTACCGAGTTTATCATTAAGTGAACTTGAAAGTGACTTGGACCTTTTGCTTAAGGCACCCTCCAGATGTATGGCTGCCTTCTCTGGGCCTGACATTCTTGTGTGCAGCTGCAGCCACAGGCATGCAGATGCAGAAGTTGCCCGGGAAACCAAAGAATTCCAAGGTTGAACAGGACATGGACGGCACTGGTCACACTGTCTGTTAAGCTGGGCCCCTGGATGTGGGTGTCTGAGCAACTTTCCTGCCCACCCACATGACTTTCGAAAAGCAAGATGTTGGAAGGTGGGGCGTGGCAGATGTAGACGCCATCCCGCTGTGCTCACATCTCTTGGGGGTCGAGCCTCTACACCGATGCTGAGGAGGAAGGGAATGAGAACACCTGGGAACTGTAGGCCCCATCCTATCACCACAGCCACAACACGGCAACAGAAGTCTGACACTCACAGGGCCGCTTTCAGTTTTGAGATGGAACAACATGGACGGCATTTTACAACAATATGCTATTCCTTGAGGATGAGTAACTGGAGAAATTTCAGGCTGAACAGAGGGAACTGTTTAACTGAAACATCATGAATCTGATTTACGTTTTATGAGGAATTAAATTACAGGTTTTTTTTTCTTTTTAAAAACTCTGAACTGTTAAAACCAACCATTGAGCCAAAAATGTATTTGGGATTTAACATTTTTCTTTTAGAAAAAACATTCTTAAAAGTGACGTATTCCAGGCACTAAAAGCCTGTGGAAACCCTGTTTTAACAATATGATGGGGCCTACCTTCAACCAAAGCAAAGTTAATAATAATATGGTCTAAGATCAAGGCTAATAACACATGTGGTTCAGTATCTACTTATAGACACATTGGGAGTTGTGTGGTCTTTGGTGATAGCCATTGGGGCTGATTCTGAGTTGGTAAAAGTAAGCTAATCTTCCATGGTCCATGCCAGGAACCAACTCACATGCCCTATTATACTTAGGCAAACAATATCCTATGCTATAATGTGGAAATCTAGACGTGTGGCCGAGCCAGAAATCACCCTGAACAAACACAAGACTTCATCACCACTTGGAGTGTCTGCACTCTATTCCAGCTCTGAGAAGATGGGCAGCCTCAGCCCACCAGGGCCAGTTCTGACTGAGAGCCAAGCCCAGATTCTTCTGGGTTGTATTCTGTCAGATCACACCTGGCTGAGCCACGACTCATGGCTTGGGAAGTCACTCCTCTGCATCGGGGCTCACTGTTGGGTAGATGGGCAAGTGAGCTCTCTCAAGGACTACCCTCTGCGATGTAGGGCAGGCAGTGAGCGTGCAGGCAGCCTGGGGCGGGGTGGTGAGGGGCTGCAGAGTAGACATATACGCTGACTTTTGTGGGTGGTGGAGACTGTGTGCACAGATTTCAGTGTTCTTGGCTTCTGGGTCTGGGGTGAACACACACACACACACACACACACACACACACACACACACACTCGCGCGCGCGCGGCTTTTCCTTTGTGATGAGTTGGGTGGTGATGGGGCAGTCGGGATTCCCTGAACACCAAGTGGTGTATCTTAGGCTGGGGGAAGAGCAAATGGATGCATTAGCAGTGTCATGTGCCAGAGGGAAGGGAACTATCTGTGTTGCTTGTCAATAGCATGGCCCCATGTCTGGCCAAACACCGTTGCTGGTTATTTCCTTTGGAGTGATCAATCACAGGTGGTTTAGTGGTCTAGCACAGTAACTATGCCTAGGGCTGAATCCTGGGGCCATGTGGCCTACAGCAAGCTACTACAGGCCCAGGATATTACCATTCCCCAAGGAAATAGATATAGGACTTTCTTAGTGCTGGAATCTACAAGTTCAGACATAATGTATCAGCACAGCCTTACTACCTCTAAGGAAGAATCCATCCTGTCTCCTTTAGCTTCTAACATTTCTTCTCTGTGACAGCGTGCTTCTAATATTTCCCATTTTCTTTTCTTTTTCTTTCTTTCCTTTTTTTTTCTTGGTTTTACAAGACAGGGTTTCTCTGTATTGCTTTGGAGGCTGTCGGACCAGTCCGGCCTCGAACTCACAGAGATCCACCTGCCTCTGCCTCCCGAGTGCTGGGATTAAAGGCGTGCATCACCACCGCCCGGCCTATCTCCCATTTCCTGTGGCCACCTTCTCCATGTGTTTCAATTTCTACGTCCCATCAGGTTCACCCTAATACGGTATGACCACCTTAACTAGAGTCTATCTGTAAGCACCTCATTTATAAAACAGCCATGCTCTGTGGTATAAAAGCTCAGGACTTCAACACTATTAAAGGGGACACAATCCCACCCCTAACACCACCTAACAGAGCTGTAAAGAAACGAGCCAATGCCTATTTGAGGTGCTGTGTTAAGTGTAGAGATGTAGTTCTGGTAGGAACGATCAGTTTAAATAGTTTAGCTGAGAAGGGATTTTATTCTTGAGCTCTGGTTTTCAAATCCTGCTGTGAGGCAACAAACATTCAAGCCCCGAAGCTAAATCACGCGGCAGAAGGAGAGCCATGATGCCACAAGAGTCCCAACACCTGAATAGTGGTCTCACCAAGTGGCAGCATTTTTGCCTCACAGGGTTGGGCATCCTGAGCCAGTAAGAGAAGCTACATCAGGTTTCTCAAATGAGCTCTGAATCCCTCCACTCCACCCCCCAAAATCATCTCAGAGAAATACTTTTGTTAACTACAGTAAAAACCAACTGTTAGGAAGAAAATGGCCGTGGTCTTGTCAAATCACCATGGATGTTTCCAAATGCTTATTCCCGTCTCATCGCAGTCTGGCAGCGTGCCGTTTGTGAACCTGCACTACTCCGTGTTCTTACACTTTGGGTCACAGTGCTGGGCTATGGCCAGGGTCACTGTAGACACGGAGGCCCCATTGGGACATGCTCCCAGACAAGAACACTACTCCTCCTGTGACTCCTAGAACAAATGACGGGTTTCTCAGCCACACCAGGGTGACGAGCCTGGCCAGGGAACCTTCTTCTCTCCCCAACATGCCTCTGGGTTTTCTTCGAGCTCTTATTCCCACCGACTTACTTTCCTTTAAGACCAGCTTTCTGAGTGAGCGCAGTCCCAACACCCTGGCTCATATGGAATATATTTAGAGAGGGGGGAAACTCCAATGGTTATATGATTTTGAACTGGCTTGGACACAGTGTGGCTGGAATTTCACTGCTGGCTTTTGTTTGCGTTCGTCATGACACATTGATTATACAAGCTGTTGCTACTGCTACCCAGACAGCTGTAGCCCAGACCTTCGATGGCTTCGTCTTCTGTACATTAGCTGACTGACAGTGTTGACCTAGCCAGGGTCTCAGCTCTCTTGCTTGGAAGCCATCACCATGGTTTATGGACATTCACAGTGACATTTCTCCTAAGGGGTCACCTGCCAGCACAGGACACACAGGGGCCTTTCTCATCAGGGTCAACTCTGATGGTGTTTCTGAATAGCCTTGAAGTCAGTCTGTAGCCTTACGAGTGTCTTTCTTTATCAACTCTTAACCCATGAGCCCTCTCCTAACATGGCACCAATGTGACTTCTATTGATTTAAAACAGAGGCTAGAGCCCACGTTTAAGCAGGTTCACATCACTGTGATTGACAGAAGCATATTAAGACAGGGAAGGCTTATGTGGGCTCACAGTCTCCTTCCTAGCATAGAAGGAACAGAGGTGTTTATGACGGTGGGAACAGTGGTGGAGACTCTTCACATCATAGTGGACCCACAAGAAGAGACTGAGACAGGAAGTGGGGGCAGCTATAAGCTTTATATATCTACTGCTTCCATCAGCTGGCGTCACCTCCTAACGGGTCCACAGTTTCCACAGTTAGCAGCTACTGGCTGGGGACCAAGTGTTCAGACCAGGACACCTCATGGGTCACTTCCGATTCAAAGCACATCAGAACCTCATCCTAAGAGCAACATACATAGGGTTCCACCGATGACTTCCCATGAATGGGGCCTTGAGTTGGCTTGGCTTTGTTCCTGAAAATTTGCCACCACTTCAAGGCATTGATGCTGATGGCAACACTGTTCACACCTCATGTGTGTAACCGATCAAGTCAGGATCTATGAACATACAACTGGCTCTAGAACCTTCACATTCAGAGAATTGGGATATTCAAAGTTGGCTGCAATGATTCGACTACATGCCTCTACTTCCTCATCCTTGAGAGAGTCACTATCATGACAGCAAAGCAATGCCAACTTCATAAAAGGTTGCAAAGTCACAAGGACAGCGAGTTGAAGGATGTTCATGTCAAACAGATTTTCATCAGCTTCAGGGATGTATCCAGTGGGTGGAGTTGAGGGGAAGCTTCTGGAATGCTGACAAGAAGGCCAGCTCACCTGCTGCAATTCCTGAAAGACAATGGAACGACAGTACCAGGTGTCCCCTGTAGGAGAGCTGGGCATGAGGCTGGCGGTCTGGTTATGAAATACATTCTCCCTGGGCTGCGTGTGGCCAGGTGCCTTGCAATGCTTCCCCTGTCCCTAGGAGGATGCTCTTCACTGCCTGGGGTGCTGTAGCTGAGGCTTCAAGGGGTTTGCTAACCCAGGGGAGAAAGGAGGAGAGACACCGGCTAAAATACTAGCTCTCCAGTGACCTGTGCATTCAGGGTGACCTGCTGTTCTGTTCCCATGGAAACAACCAGACCTGTGTTCTACTCCTCTGCCGCACCACACTTCACCTTTTATCACCAAAAAGATGTTTGCAGGATTTTCTAGTGGGAAAACTCAGAAAGCTCAAGGGGATAGGAGATGTGCGACAGTTACCAAAATGTTCCCATGAACATCCCATGGGTGCTCAATTACCCTACTTATGCTATGCCAGGACCCAGTAAGGTTCCCATGGCATGGCACTTGAAGTGCTGTCTTCTCAAGGACAGAGCTATGCCACCAGAGGAAAGTTTCTGACTGGTAAAGAGATGCCCAGACCAACCACACTGTCGAAAGGAGCCTACGACAAGCAGAGATGCAGGGGTCACATGGACACAGTAAAGCACTTGAAGATGACCTTCCTAGCAGGAAGAGCTTTAAGACATCAATGGAAAGATTAGAATACAAAAAGCAATTTTTTTAAAAGGAGGGGAAAAGCCAAAGAGATAGAGAACTAAGAGAGAAAAATACTGTACTCAGAAGAGAATGTCTAGGGGTCTGGATATCTGATGAAAAAATGTCCATGATAAAAATCATTAAAGAAACAAAACAAGAAGTGACAGATGGGGCTGGAGAGGGGAAGGGGGAAAAGAAGGTGGTGTGTGGAGTGTAATTATGGAGAAATTCATGTGCGCCAGGTCAGCAATGGAGGGAGGCAACAGAACGTTAGACTTGTCAAACATTTGAGAACTACCAGGAACTAACTTCCTGCTGAAGTTCTAGGGTCCCTTCCAAGACCCATGCTGAAATGTACCTGCCACCATGAGGCAGGCAGGCCTTGAGAAATGATCAGGCCAGGAGGAGAGATGAAAGCTGTCATCCAGGGAGTGGGTAAAAGTGACTTTGGCAGATGGCTTTCTATAAATCAGAGGGTGTCAGCCAGCCCCCCTTCCTTCCCATCTCAGTCACTTTTCTATTGCTGGGAAGAGACGCCAAGACCAAGACCAAGGCCAAGGCCAAGGCCAAGGCCAAGACCAAGACCAAGACCAAGGCAACTCTTAGAAAAGAAGGGGGCTTGCTTATAGTTTTAAAGAGTTAGTCCAGTCTCATCATGGTGGGGGGGTATGTAGCTGAGAACTACTGAGCTGCAGAGAGAGAGAGAGAGAGACAGAGACAGAGACAGAGACAGAGACAGACAGAGAGACAGAGACAGACACAGAGATGAAGAGACAGAGAGAACTGAGTCTAGCATGGGTTTTTGAAACCTTTTTCAAAGCCCATCCCCAGTGACATTCCTCCTCCAACAAGGCCACACCTCCTAATCCTTCCTAAGTAGTACCGGCCATTTTTATCTAAATCGCCACACACCACCCTGCCTGTGCTCTTGTCATCCGATCCTTTCTGCCATGCTGTGACACAGCAAGGTGTCCCTCAACAGACATGGCCTTGCTACCTTGGATTTCCAACCATCTAGAATCACAAGTCCAAGAAACCTGTGGTGTTCATAACATACCCAGTCTGTCGTATTCTGCTCCAGTAGCAAAATATGGACTAAGACACCCCCACCCCATCCCAGTTGCCTTGTATTAGGAAGTGATGCAGGAGCATCTTGAAGTAGAATGAAATACTGTCAAGAGATGGGGTCCAAGGGGACTGGGAAACTGGGGATCTGGTATATAGCTGCAATGGAAGGCAACTGAGCAGAGCTGTGTGGGAGCTTCCTGAGGAACGAGCCCAGGCTTCAGCAAGAGGTTAGGAATTCTGAGTGGGAGGGAGGAGTCCAGGAGGACAGAGAACGGACGTCTGATAATACTGAAATAATATATTAAAATAATATTGATGTAACATCAAAATTTGATAGGTACAAATAAATCTAAGTGTTTCCTTTTAAAGAGAGGCATTAATTAGTTCCAGAGAAAAACAGTATCTGGTGCTGGAAGTCAAACATAGCTGTGATATACTAGTGAGTACTGTGATATACTCTGTGGGTCATGAGTGCACCGTGGCAGTGACGTAGACGGGGCCGTGGGGCCAGAATGTCTGTCACAGCTGGAGGGTGGGGGAAGAAGCAGAAGAAAAGGGTGATGGGGTAAAAGAACTAAATGACGCTTTGCGTAAATCACTCGCGATGCCGCAGGCTGTGCGCACTAGCTACGAACAGCGCGACGGTCAGAAGACTCACGTAACCACACGGAAAGTGGCAGGCCTGCAAAGCTGAGTTTGTAGGGAGGTTGGACTGTACAGGCCGATCCCGGTGTGCATCTTTTGACATTCCTGGGTCTTAGTTAGCCAGGCACCACTTTAATAAATAGATAACTACAAAAGGGTAAAATTCTAGGAACCTGGGCTTTGATGCACAAATTCGGTCACGTCCGACCAGCCAAGCAGAAGCATCTAGAAGGACCTGTGGAAGACCAGGGAGTTGACATTAAAGTCCCACTGTCTTCTTGCTAATAGGAGTCATGCTGGGCTTCTCTGTGGGTCTGTGGGGAACATTCCATGTGGCACCACACAGCAGACGGTCGTGCCAGTTGCTGACCTTCTGGCTGTACCCTTTTACAGCTCTGCGCTCTTTGTAAGACTAGACAAGCTAGGGCACCGTAGCCTGACAAAAATGTCTGAGAGCCTACAAAAACACAGACCGAGAAATGATATGTCTACTTGAGAAAGATTTGACTAGGGAACAACAGAACATCTCCCGTACAGTGCTGAGTCAGACGGAATGGGCTGTGCCATCCTCCAGCTGGGCTGTGTCCCCTCACTTCCCCTCCCCCCAGCTTGGGTATGTTTTCTAAGCAAAGAGGGGTGGGGGTGGGTAAAGCCACAGCCCAGAGCATGAAGACAGTCCTCAAGTCCTTTGCCAAGAGTCCTTTGTGCCGCCATGCTGATGCCTGGGTTGGAAGAGGCACTGTGGAAAGGTTTATAAACGCCAGCTACCCACCTCTGGGGTCAGGTCACAAATCTTGGCTTTAGAAGCAGACCAGCTTTGTACAATAAGCAGGGAAGTCCAAAGTTGAAGCTTGGGATGAGTAAGCCCATCCCTTAGTCATAATCTCACTCGGGGCAAAGCATATTACTGTCAGCCCGACTGAAAACTACTCAGAGTGGAAGTGACCACATTCTAAAGCAGAGGAAAATAACCCATGAAGGCAGAGCACTGCTATCCCCTCCACGTCCCCAGATGCCATCAGGCAGCTTGCATTAGGGGAAGTGACTCATAAAAGGGGAAACCGTACCCCAGCCTGGTCTGGGAACACTGTGCAAATTAGGGAGACACGGGTATGTGTGCATCTGGGGTTCTCCATGCCGGGAAGCTGGGACCCAGAAATGATCAAGGCCTATGAGATGGAGGATGTACTAAAAGAAACACTCAGGAAGAAGATTCCTAGAGGACCACGCTTGGGGAGAAAGGCTGTTCCAGCCCAGGCCAGGGAGGGACGGGAGCGGACAGGGAATCCAGGAGGTCAGTGGCCGGTACCCGGAGATTGGGAGGGGAATCCCAGCAGTTACCACAAGGCACAGAGGACCAGTGGAAACTAACGGGTGCAGGCAGGAAAGCGGGGAGAAGAGAAGAGAGAAGAACTCTGGGTGGAAAAGCTCAGAACGTGGGATCACTGGGTTACTGTAAGGAAACGAGAACCCTTGTGGTCAGAACAGGAAGCCGACAGGGTGGCACATGGTGTTACAGTAGCTGTGGCTTAGCTGGTGGGGGCGACCCAGGTCTGTGTTGCATCACAGGAAGATCTGGTCCCGTGGCCTTGTCCAGACTGGTGCAAGCAGAAGGGTAGCTGAATCTGAGAGGTAACCTGGGCTCAGCCCAGGGAGGCAGGGTCACTGGCATGAGCCAGCACAGGCTGTACCAGCTCTTATGCATTCACTCACGGGCTCTGTTTTGCTTAACACACAGCCTTTCCCACCATGTGACAAACTGCTTTGCATCCTCTGAGGCTGGGCCCTACTGGGCCATGTGGCTCCCGACTCTTTGGGATGTTTTCCTATGTACCTTGTTCGTTTTTATATTACCCTGCCCCAGGGCTGGCAAAAATTCAGACATCTATATCTACATACTCACACATTTAACGTGTTCAGCAGTTGTTTTTGTAAAGTTAGTATTAGAAAAACCACTGTTTTAAGCTAAGTCCTTTATGTTGCTGTCACTGGAGACACATCTTGTAGAAGATGCTTTCTCCTAGAGGAGGGATGACCTTAAGGCAAAGGCAAATGAAAACTATGCTTAAAAAAATAGCAGTCAGGGTTGGAGAAATGCTGTCTGCTCTTCCAGAGGTCCTGAGTTCAATTCCCAGCAACCACGTGGTGGTTCCCAACCATCTGTAATGAGATCTGGTGCCCTCTTCTGGCCTGCAGGCAAACATGCAGAGAGAACACTGTATATGTGATAAGTAAATCTTTAAAAAAGAAAAAAAAATACCAGTCAAGGTAGTTGCTATTTCCAATAAAACAAGTAACAACAGAGGAAGCAGATAAATCATGACACACGCGCACACACACACACACACACACACACACACACACACACACACACACACACACACACACAGAGTCCAGTACTGATAGTATTAGAATCTGAGCTCAGGACATGGCCCATGAAAACTATACGGAGAATATGGATATGAGATGAACCAAGAGCAGAGAGGGTTCACAGTCTCAGCAATAATAATAAAGTTATTTCAACACTTTCATTGAGTTTTGAAGATAGGTTATTTGGATTTCTTCTGGCAATCATTAAATTATTTTAAGGCTCCAAGGTGTTTTGAATTTTTGTTTTAGGTCAGCAGCAAAAGGAAGTAGGAAATAAAATGTAAATAAAAGATGAAAGACACTACCTATTGAATTTGGTAGATATGTACATTCATAACCAACAATATATACATTTGTATGTAAACGTCACACAGAGACATTCTCTAGATAAGCTTATTTGACATCTGCAATGTCTGTGGCTCCCAGGTTGTTTGAAACTCAAGACCCCCTAAGTGGGCCCCTAGCGAGGCAAAATCGTACATGTGTGTTCAGACATTAAAGGTGCCACTAAGTTTTTTCTGGAGACCATGGTTATCGCCTACAGAAAATGGGGAGATGCTGCCCTCTGCTGGAGAAATGCTAACGATGCATTAACAACATTCCTGAGAAAGCGTGCATATGGAAAACGAACCAGCAGGATTGAAACTTTAAGACTCTCCCTTTAGATAGTAAAAACATTTGGGCAACATTATCTACTAAATAGCAGAGAGTATGCAAATATGCAAATATTCAGCATGGTAAGGGTAACTGGCCCCAGATCAAGTCTCAATGGTGGACCTCATTCCAAAGTTCAAACTCGCTGTTGTTTCTGGTATGAATTCAGGAATACCAAGGAGCCCTTACTGACTTGGATGATGTGCTATCCCCTGAACACGTCAGTGTAGCGGAGTTTCCAGCTGGCATCCTCCCTCCAGGAGCACGAAGTTCGCTGGAAGAGACCAGTTCCCCCTTTCCTGGCTCGGAAGTGGTGCATCTCAGGGCAGAAGGTGGTATAGCCACAGCTCAGCTGTAGCTGACAAGCTAGGAAGTCTCTTGTCCCCTCTGTTTTCTCCCCTCACTCTTGCCCAGTCTCTTTTCCCACCTGACTCCCCCCACCCCCTTGTCCCATCCTCCCCTTGTCTGGCTTGTAGAGATCACAGAGAAACCTGAAGCTGTGGTCTCCCACTGTGTGTGGCTCACAGAAGCTCATTGGGGGATATTCATATACGTTAGGGACTATTGATCTTGCAGTTCAGTCTGACAACGGCCCTTTACAGTAGGTAATATTTATGCACATTATTCAGGCGGAGAAGCCGAGGCTTAGAGAGGCATACCTTGCCACAGCTACACAGCTCATAGAGGCTGCCTCCCAACTTAGGCATGCACGCACATGGAAACTAACTACCATGGCTTTTGGGTTGTACTCTGTCATCATTACTTAGAAACTGAGTGATTTTGTTTTCTTAAGTACCTCCTTGTAAAAGGATTTAGTTTGCAAAGTCAGTATTTAAGCCAATGGTTTGGAATTTATTCTAATAGCTGGCAGCTGTGCTCTCAAGACCTTCGGTAAACGCCTAGTGAATTTCCCATCATGCTCTGGTGTTTACAAGATGTATATTAACGCAATGCCAGTAACAGGAAGCATTTCAAACACAAGGTACAAGGATTGGACACCTGAGTTCTCAAGTTCTTGAAGGAGGAAACTTTTGTGTGTTGAACATAGAGTTCCGTCCACCCGCTAGGTGGCGCTATTGAACAAGACTAACTTGGTTTACTGGCCCTGCCAAGAACTGTTCCCATTACATAGGTCTCACGCTCTTTGTTCCTAGTTAACTTGCTCATTTATTTAGGCTTTTTTACCATCACTACAATTTTAGCTTACAAAATCAGGTCTGAGAAATATTCTGCTAGCTCGCAGTAGGGTAGGCTTATTTGCATTTGTGGCACTGGAGACCAACCCCAGGGCTCCAAGCACCGCAGGTGAGCACTCTACCGCTGAACCCCTTTGCCCCAACATCAGTATTTTGAGTTAAGGAATGGAGACACAGACCCATTAAAACTCCCAGCTCAGACGTGCCAGGATCTTTCCCTTACTTTTGTATGTGACCATAGACTTCTCTGGTCGGGCTTCAGTTTCTCATTCAAAAAAAGGGGTGAATGAAAATCGATTGAGCAATACGAAGCAATAAGAAGCAGAGATGCGTGGTGGTCCGTCCTCACTGTAAACTTGATTGGACTGAGAGTCACCATGAAAACATCTGTTTGGGTGAGCTATGAAAGTGCTTCCAGGGAGGTTTGAGTGAAGAGAGAAGAACCACCCACGGGTGGGTGACACCTTCCTATGGGGTGGCATCCTAGACTAAATTTCAAAAAAGAGAAAGAGGGCTGGCTGCTTGCTCCTACCTCTCTCTCCTTGCTTCCAGACAGCTGAGGCAGTGTGACGAGCTCCCTCACATTCCCCACCACAGCAGATTGTAGCATCTCTAACTGCAAGGTCTCCACACACACCCCTAGGCTGCTTCTTTGTCATGAGCTTGGTCACAGCACCAAGCAAAGCAAATACAAGCTGCATCTGCTACGCCGGAGAGGCTTTTCTTGTCAGTTAAAGTCGGTATCGTCCTTGCTCTCTAACTCCAACTCAGTCAGACTCATTGAGGAAACATACTGCAGCGGCCCTAGCTTTTGTAATGACCCGGGACACCTGGGCTTACTCTACGTGTAATCCATAATGTTCGAACCTTAAATTCTATTTCACGTTAATTACTTATAATCACAAACTTCTTCTGAGATATGCTAGCTGGGTCTCATAACAGTCAAACATTAATATAAAATTACTTGTACTTTTTAAAAAAATTATAAGACCAGTCAGTTATCCAAACGGCCAGAGACAAACTTGCTCGATGGCAACCTACCTTTCTGCAGAACGGGGAAGGCCCGGTCAAAGTGGTGTTTAGGATAAGTACCAGCTTCACTAAACGGCACGCTGTTAGAACAGGCAGCAGTAGTTTGAAAGCTATCACAATTCCTATCTGAAAGTAAGTGACACTTCATCTGATTAAAAGACACAGCCAGTTTTGCTAGTTCTCCTGTCCCTAAAAACTCAGTGCTTGCCGTCGTTGGTATGAAAGTCACGCCCAAGTCGTCAGTGTCATTGTAGAGGTCCCGATGACTAAAACTAACCAGACACCTGCAGTTGCGTTGTTCAATAACAGGGCATATAGCCAGTGATAGACAGCCACTTAAGAATCTGCATATTAATTCATTTTTCCAGTGACCAGTGAATCCACAGTGGTCACAGCGCCCCAGAATTCTCGGTGTCTCATATTTTAGTGTTTCTTTGTTCTGTCCTTTAAGTCTATTTGGTTATATGGTAGGTGTGTGTGTGTGTGCATGTGTGTGTGTACTGTAGGTATTGATTCACGTGGGCATGTGTGTGTGTGTATGTGTGTGTGTGTGTGTGTGTACCATAGGTACTGATTCATGTGGGCATGTGTGTGTGTGTGTGTACTGTATATACTGATTCACGTGTGCATGTGTGTGTGTGTGTGCATGTGAGTGTGTACTGTAGGTACTGATTCATGTGGGCATGTGTGTGTGCATGTGTGTGTGTGAGTGTGTACTGTAGGTACTGATTCACGTGGACATGTGTGTGTATGTGTGTGTGTACCGTAGGTACTGATTCACGTGGGCGTGTGTGTGTGTGTGTGTGTGTGTGTGAGTGTGTACTGTAGGTACTGATTCACGTGGGCATGTGTGTGAGCACGTGTGACTGTGTGAGTGTATGTATGTGGAGGCTTGAGGTCAACACTGGGATCCTCCTCAATGACCTGCCACCTTATTGTTGTTTCTGAGATAGGGTCTCTCACTGAACCGATAGCACAATGATTCAGCTGGTCTCTCACTGAACCGATAGCACAATGATTCAGCTGGTCTGGCTGGCCTGTGAGTTCCAGTCCTCTGCTAGTCTCTGCCTTTCTGATGCTGGCATAGATTACCATCAGGCAAAATTGTCTCTTTCCTAAATCATTGGAGACATCTGGCCCTTTAATAAAAAATAGACATTTTATACTAATGTTTAAGCTTTATGGAGGTCCAGCTAATGTATCTTAGCTAGTGTGCCCTGTGCCTGACACATAACTGTGGGGATCCGAATTCAAGGCCTCATGCTTTTAGCAAGTGCGTTACTAACAGAGCCAAATTAAAGTTCTGAATGCATGTTTTCTAGTGTTAGGGATCATATCCGGGCCATAGGCATGCTAGGTAAGAGCTCTACCACTGAATTGTACTATCAGCCCTAAAATTCTTGAAGCGCCATGATTTTAGTGTGAGAGTAAGGTGGTCTGGTGTGAACGGATTAAAGACATCCATGCCTCCTCTTATCTGCCTGGCTGTAACCTACCAACACATGTATATCAGTGACAGACAAAATGGTGCTTTGTATTCACCGGATACAAGTAGGAGCTGGTCAGGAGTCTCTACTCACCCCTCATCCTCTGCCTTGGGGACAGAGAAACTGTTAGGACACAGGGACCAGTCAGTGTCATCATAAGGGAGCAGCAGCAACCACAGTACACAGAAGTTCTTGAACTCTTGGCCCAAGGTTCATTCTGTCATGCACACACTTCACGGCAGCAGAGAGACAGGCCGGCGTTATAAACTGGGGTTTATAAATGTATTGCCATGACGTACTCTCAGTAACTGAGTTTAGAACAGAAAGCAGGGGCCTTGGGGTCCCCTCTGTGCCAGGACTTATTCTTTTAATCACTTTGCTGTTAGAATAGGGGTAGGACTAGGGCAGTCAAGATGCGCCCTGAGATTAGCATAGTTGCATGGCATTGTGTAAGTCCCCAGAATGGCTGCGTCGAGCTTTTGGAAGTCCTTTCATCCATTACACAAGAATACCAGATGCCCCCTGTTCCTTCTGAGGCTGTTAACATGTAGTTACTGCCAAACCCAAAGGGGAAAGAGAGCTGCGATTTACTGGCGGGAAGGAAGGTTGTAGCTGTAGGTAAAAGAGCTAACAGCAATCTGATTGTCACAAATCCTTTCCACTTTCATTGATGTGTGTGCAGATCATGGGATGAAGGCCTACCATTTCTGAGATGTCACCTAGGTAACTGGAGGAAATAGGAAGTCAATAAGAAAGGATTCCAGCAATAGCTGGAGTTTTGTGTGTGTTTAAGAACTGAGATGCAAATGTCTTCATCTAAATAAGCAAGTCTTCATCCCTACCACACAACAGAGGTCTGGATAAGGATGTGTCACCAAGATTCACCCAGTTCATCATCTCACACTGTGATGCTCATGCACGCGCACACTGAACACAAGAGGTGGTGGGGGAGACAGACAGACAGACAGACAGACACACACACACACACACAAGAGGTTGGCAGAGAGGGAGACAGAAATAGAGACAGACAGACCAACGGTTCACTCGAGAACGACTGAGTTCTTTTTTAAAGACTGTAATGTAGGGTAAGCTCTCTCCCTGCACAGAGTAGGGCCCACAATGTCTTACAGAACCACCATCGTCAGACACGCCCTTCACATTTAACTTATGCAATCTCCTTCACGCGTCTATTCTTGCCAGGACAAAGTTCCAGTTTCCAAACTCAGCTGCTGAAGGCTTCTAGCTATTCAAACTGATTTTCCTGATGAGAAGACTCAAGGCAGGGCTCACCTTTGGGTTCTCTGACGTATTCTTACATGCAGATAAATTAGATTTTTGGACTCTGGCTGAGAGAGCTGGGAGGCTTTCGAAGCACCTGCCAGCCATTTATCCAAATGGCGGGGGCCCCAGCGGAAGGGCTCCCCCAGGCAAAGGAGTTTGCCTGGGCCTTGGTTATGCAGATGTGGCTCCTGCCGTCTGACTGTCTGCAGTCTTTGGGAGTGTTTTCCTCTGTCTGCTTTTTCTACCAGGTCATACGCCCTCTCTCAGCAGCACAAAGCTGCAACCTGATGGTGAATAAATACGCAAGGGCTGCTGGGCCTCAGTAGAGTAAGAAGCACAGGAAAGAGAGCAGCAAGAGGGCATCTTTCTCTCAAGCTAAATAATAACGAGAAGAAAATAAACGATGGATTTCCAAAAGTAATTATATCCACAGTGATACGGTGGGCTGTCCTGCAATCGCTTTGCCGCTTCTATTCGGGCAGCGCTTGGCTTGGGGAAAATAAAATCTTAATTGCATTTTCAATTTGCTTCCCCTATCTAATCTACCGCCAGGATTTTACACGCTAGGGCGCTTGTGTAACAGTATTGCAGGGCAGAGCTCTTCCCCCACTCTCGTTTGCATCCAGGAGCTCCAGGTGTGCGAATGTATCTATCTACATCCTTTGTTCCCAGCAATGGGCTAGGGTAAGCCTGTGGTGTAAGGATTCAGGCATTATGTCACCTGGCAGAAAGCACTCAGGCGGTACCCTGGTCAGCTCAGGGTTCCATGATTGTGTAGTCTGCACGCAGGTGCAAAGGACCCCTTTAAAGACAAACCCCTGCGCACTTCCGCTCTATTTTCCAGCTGTCTTCCCTTCGGGCAGACGGGACTCTTCCTGTCTCCTTCTTCTCTTCGGCTTTCTGCATCTCTGTCTCTTTACCCCTCTTCTCTTTCCTTCTAATTAAGCTTCTCACTTAAGCTCTGTCTGCTTGGAGTGTTTGTCCCCAGCCTAGGCCACTCTCGTCTGCCACGGAATCCACCACGGTCTCCCTAGCCCAAGGTCCCCCTCAAGCTTTATCATAACAGATGGAGAATGCTGTGAACTTCTGTTTTTAAGGAGAGGGACTTAGCCATCGTAGCCATGGAGACACTAGCCGCGGTGAGTCTGTGTCTTACCCTAAAGCTTGAGGTTTTGCAGTCAAAACCTCATGCTTCTATTCTGTCTTTGAGAGCCCGGGGACACAGGATATCGCTTCATACCTTCATATCTCAAGCCGTCGTCAAGGCAAGGAAGCCCTGGAGAGGAGGATCCTACAGGGGAGAGGGCTTACACGTGGAGTTACCTGGGTCCTTGTAGATGCTGAGCACGCCCTTGAAGTAATGAGGTAAAAATCTTTCCAGTAAAAGCAGCACGTCCTCTAACTCCTCCAGAATCCCCACGAGCAGGAAGTTTTCATTCACGTTCATTTTGGCACGCTCCAGGGCCCACTCGCCAGGCTCCCTTGACAGACAAGAAAGTCACTTACATCACAGCCCCCGTGATGTACAACAACAGCCCATGGAAGATGGAAGGTTGTCCCGCCCCGTCCCCCAGGTCCCCATCCTCCCCCCCAGCCCCGCATCCCCCAGGTTGACATTTGTGTGAGCCCTACCCTGAATTCCTTCTAAGTCTAGCCTAGGTATAGCCTCGCAGCCCGTTCTCCTAGGGGTTCTCCAGCTGAGGTATTTTTTTTTTATATGCATGCAAGGGCTAGGATCTTGAATATCCCTGTCTAAGTATTTAATGAAAGTCAATGACAGGCATTTAGGTCCCAAGCAGATGGTTAGAATGGCGTTTATATAGATGAACCAAGTGGAACCCATTTAATGAAGTTAGAGTCACCGGCAATATTCTGGTAGTGATCAAAACGATTGTCCAATAATGCCTGCTAATAATCTCATCCTTTTGAAACACTAACGTTGGTTTTTATTGTTGTTGTTCGTTACAGAAGGGGAAGAGCCGAATTTCATTATAGGTCAGGTTTGGGGGAATTTGGACAAGCCAAGGTCAATCTTGAAACAACAACAAAACAAGGCTTACCTGCTACAAAAGACTGATGTAAAATTCAACAGAATGATATTGGTGGATGGAATCTAGGGTCCCTCGTGTGAACTAAATAAGGCACCCAAGGACACTGCCCAAGGTTTGGAAAGAACCAATTTCAGGTCCACTTTAGGGAGTTAGAATCATAGCCCTTGGAATAAACACCTCCACATATGGTGACATATTATTTATGATTTTTAAAGCTTGCCTGAGGATTCAGAAAGCAAAGTCAGCCACAAGCCATAGAAGCCAGGCACACACTTTTAATCCCAGCAGCCAGAAGCTAGCAGGTGGTGGTACACACTTTTAATCCTAGGACTCAGGATTAATAGACGGATTTCTGTGAGTCAAAGGCCACCCAGACCTACACAAGAGTGAATCAGTCTAAAAGAGAACTGTAGCTCACACCTTTAATCCCAGGACTCATGAGAGGTATATAAGTCAGTATCAGGCATTCGGTAGGAAGCATTCAGTCTCCAGCCATGCTGAGGAGAGCTCGTGGGTCAGCCCTTTCAGCCTGAAGTAGAGGTAAGGATTAGTGGCCAGCTGCTTTGCTCTTCTGAACTTCAGTTTGAAGCTTGAACCCCAATATCAGTCTCTGGGTCATTTATTTTCGTGTTACACCCATAAAAAAGTAAGTCACTGGATGCTGTATCCTCAGCTGCTAAAGCAGTGGCTGCAAACCATTTACTGACCATCAGCGTAAGCGATGGGGAAGATGGCCAGAACCAGGATATTGATAACGCCTGGGCTTTGCATTGTGGGAACTCTCTCCTGTTACAGTAAGCTAAGCAAAGCAGTGCCACCAACCCAACTCCCAACCAAACAGAAATGAAACGCATAAGCCAAAAATTGCCAAGAATGTGTCACAACTTAGAATCAGCCATGTCCCCCAACCCCCTGGCTGGGACACAAGGATCCTCTCTCTACTTCTGCTCATTGCTGCAACCCTTTCTTTGGGTTGTCGACACGTGCTTATAACAATGCATGTGATTTCAATTATAGCTACTCCAGCACCACCTAGAAAAGCAACTAGGAATGCTTGTGCCTGCCCTGGGGTACGCTGTCTCCCTGAGAAGTCACAGAGTGAAGAAGGCTCTTGATCTCTGGAAATTCTGCCTGTCAGTGGTTCTCAGCCTTCCTAATGCTGCAACCTTTCATACAGTTCCTCATGTTGTGGTGACCCCAACCCTAAAATTACTTCCTTTGCTACTTCATAACTGTAATTTTGCTACTGTTACTGTGTTTTCTGATGGTCTTAGGAGACCCCTGTGAAAGAGTCTTTCGACTTTCAAAGGGTTACAACCCATAGACTAAGAATAGCTGTTCTGTGAGACAATATCTCATTAGAGACACCATCAAATAGTGTGTGTGCTTCCAGAGTGTTGGACCCTATGTAGCTTGTGAAGCGCAGATATGGTTGTGGGTCACAAATGCTCACCATGGAGGAACAGGCTGGCCACCTGATGCTGGTCTCCACTGTGTTGTTGGGTGGTGGTGACAGCCATGTTTTGGGTAGATAAATGGAATTGGTGGGTGTTTCTGTTAATATAACTGTATGTAATCACACCTATTGCTGTGTCATGGAGTCTTGCATTCCTTATATGACACTCAGGTTGGCAAATGATATTCTTGAAGAGCTGCTGTCATCAAGAACTGAAGTCCAAAAGGTTGAGGGACTTCCTGCAGAAGGGTCCCACAGGGTGCCCGTGTGGCAGGGTGCTTTCCCAGCATGCTTACCTACATCTGGGGTGCTGTCCACAGAAATACGGAATGATGTAAAATAACCTGGGGTTGGAACACTCAGGGTAGTTTTCCAGAATGCACTCATTGATATCCTAGGAGAGAAGACACAGTAGTGAAAAGCCTCATTGTCTTAGCAGGGCTTGCTGAGTGCCATCCATTAAAAATGTGTGTTGATTACACACATTTCACCGGAAACTCTGAGGCAGACAGAGAGAATTCAGACTTCCTAAGAAAACTTTCCTTTTGCCTCTCGATATCTGGGTACACTGGCCAGGTATGTCCATGGTCTGGGCAGGTCGGGGTGTGACTACTTGGCTGAATACTCTGTATCTCTCATCTCCTGGAGGCTGGAACGTTTGGTTGGATCATAAGTGTTGTAATTTAAGAAAAGCAGCATGCGAGAGAAAGACACCATGTGACAGGGTTCAAGTATAGGTTTTGTTTGTTGTTGTTGCTTTTTCTTTAATTGGGAAAGGGATCATAAAAAGGGGAAAGGGAAGGGGGGAGACTGGCCTTTGGAAACAGGAGCAGCAAGAGAGAGGAGAGAGGAAAGAGGGGGAGGAGGGAGAGAGAGGAACAGACAAAGAGAGGGAGAGAAAAAAGGAGAGAGAGAGAGAGATGGGAGGTGGGCAGGGCCCTTTTAAAGGGGAACACAGTGAATGTGCATAGGTGGTGCTCTTAGTGGCTGAAGCTGAGGCTGTATCCTGTCAGAGCCTCAAGGATAGGCCAGTACAGATGCCTGCATGCTAACAATAAGCCTGATAAAGAAAGTTCTATTCTTGTGCTTCTCAGTGGCCCCAGTGGCTATCTGCCAGCCCATAGGTATACAACAGGCACTTAATTAATGCTTGTGGGATTAATTCAGTAAGAATTAATCCTTAGTGAATTTTGAGCTAATCACTCACCATGGTGTGTTCATGTGTACAGACATCTGGTAAACAATTATGAAGTCGCTCCAACAGTCTCATCAAGGGTTTCTACATTTCAGAGAAGCTACACAACTTCTAAGGTTAACAGCAAGAAAACAACAGGGTTTAGGAACCTTGGTGTCCTTTCATTTTCAAAGGCAGCTGTATGGGTCTCAGGTTTTCTCTTACATGAGGTCACATATGGGCTCTGTTAGCACGGCTAACAGGAGTTTGGGATGGCCAGGGGTGGGGTGGAATGGGCTTATGTCCAGACCCTGGCAGAGCTGAAGGGTGAAGGTGCAGGGAGTTGGCTGGTCAGAGAAAAGGGGACAGGAGCAGGACTAGTCAGCGCTGGGTTTTCAGAAGGCCATGTCCCTATAGGACACCACAAATAACCCTGCGTGGGAAGTCATAAATTTCTAGTTCAGAGAGTGCAGTTGACTAGGCTTCTTTTCTTTGACCAAGGCACATCCTGGGGGACTTCAAGGGGTTCCATTTGAGCCCATTAGGATGACGAACGGCGCTCATTACAGCCCTGCTAAGGAAATTCTATAGGAAGAAGTAAATAAAATATGTCTCCAGTAGAGGGTCAAGGGCAGCATTGAATATCCACTGCTCAAGGATGCAGACAGGGAGACCAAGGCCTTCGGGAATCAGTTCCTGACCACTTACACAGTCTGACTGAAGGGCTGACTCGGGAAATGCGATCTCAATTCAGTATCTTGTTCCAAAGGCGCCTCTCAGTTTTTGGGGAAGATAGAGTCCTCCCATAACTACTGACTTTTAATTTGGTGGGAGACTTTATTATGATCATCTTTTGTGATACGCCTCTCTTAGCACATATGTATTTTAAAATGCTCTCACAATGTCCTCTTTTCTCATTCCTTTAATTTTTAAAATTTATTTTATGTACATCAGTGTTTTGCCTGCACATGTATTTGTGTACCAATTGCATGCCTGGTGCCCAACGGAGGCCAGAAGAAGGAGTTGGATTTCCTAGAACTGGAGTTACAGACGGTTGTGAGCTGCCATGTGGATGCTGGGAACGGAACCTAGGTCCTCTGGAAGAGCAGCCAGTGCTCTTGACTGCTGATTATTTCTGCTATTATTCCTTTAACTTTTCGTGATTTAAGCAGAAATGGGTTATTTGTTTCTTTTGCTTGGTGTATATGAATAATCACGAGATTGCCATACACACACATCACGAATCAATGAATCATCATGAGATTGCCATGCACACACATCACGCATCAATGAATCATCATGAGATTGCCATACACACCTATCACGCATCAATGAATCATCATGAGATTGCTATGCACACATATCACGCATCAATGAATCATCATGAGATTGCCATACACACCTATCACGCATCAATGAATCATCATGAGATTGCCATGCACACATATCAAGCATCTTTCTCCTACTCTCCCTCTGCTCCCCTTCCCACCCCTCCGCCCCCTGCTTTTGCCTCCTTCCCATTTGTCTCCCTTCTGCTTCTCTCCCTCTGGACACACACACACGTGTGTATGTATGTAGATCTAGATTCCGCCTATGAAGGAAAAGTGTACTCTGTTTTCTTCCCTCACTACACTGTCTTGTCTGTTTCCCATAATAAACCCCACCCTTCTACTTCCATATCTACACAAAAACACACCACATACACAAACACACACACGTACTTAAATCTAGATCCCCACATGAGAGAGTCATTTTTGTCTTCCTGAGTCTGGCTTATTTCACCTCACGTGCCGATCTCTGGTTCCATCCATTTTCTGGCAAAAGACCTTATTTAATTCTTTTTAATGGCTGGATAAAATCCTACTCAGTGTGTGTGTGCTCATGCCTGTGTGCATGTGTGTGTGCGCATGTGCGTTTCTGTGTATGCATGTGTATATTGTGTGCTCATGTATGTGCATGTGTGTATTTGTGCATTAATGTGTGCACATTTATCGTATCACGTTTTCTTTACTCATCCATCGTTTCTGGACCTCTAAGATGTTTGCATCTCTTGGTTATTGTAAGATGTGCAGCAATAAACATGGATGTGCGTGTATGAAACAATGAACATGGGTGTGCATGTATGCAGCAAAGACCATGGATGTGTGTAGCAGGTACCGTGGTGTGACGCTGCCTTCAGTTCCTTTGAGATCCGCCCACACATGGTGTAGCTGCGTCACACGGAAGCTCTAATTTTAGTTTTCTGAGGAACCTCCACACTGACTGCAGCAGTGGCAACACGAGCGGGACTTCTCACCACAGTGTGCAGCCCTCCTCTTCCCCACACACTTGCCGGAATCTGCTCTCTTCATGTCAGCAGTTCTGACTGGGGGGGGCTTGTTCTTTTTTTTTTTTTTTTTTTTTTGCATTTCCTTTGCATGTTGTGCTTCCAGGGTAAGAGTGCTTTAAAAACATCTTGAAAACTCACATCTGAGTTTTTAAAATTTAGAGTGGGAAGATCTAAGTTACACCACTACTGTAGTGACTGTAGCCAAGCAAACTTGACTTGCTCCAAAGGATCTTGGATTCTGTGATCTTCTACAGCATCTCCCGCTGCCTAAGGCTGGCACTCTTACACAATTAGGTCTTGGGCACAGCACTCGACTCCACTCATAATTCCACACCATTGGGGAACTAGAGAAAAATACTTCCAAGTGGGCACTGAGGGTAATTGACAATCCTTTCCATACCCAAGCCATTAACAATCGAACCCACCTGGAATTTATCCTAAGCAGATTATATAAGCACCTGGTGTAGAATCCCAAGAAACCCAAGCAAAAATGGCGTATGTATTTTGTTGTTTCTACTTTTGGTAGTAAAGAAAGCCCAGTTCTGGTCTCAGTCCTGCGATTAGAGGAGTGTCCTTAGCAAAATGATGACACCTTTTTTGAGTTTCACTTTTCTCATCGGTGGGACACGAGGCAGAACCTCACAACTCATTTTATGAGCCAGTGGGCAGATGTGCCCAGGTCCCTAAGCCAGGTTTTGTATACTGAAGAACTAGAAAAGATGGCCACACTTCGATTCAAAAGTTACATGTAAGTACGAACCCTCGTTCAGCGTTTCCTGTCTCCCGTGGAAGCAAGTCTTGGGACACTACTGACGTCAGCAGATCTCACCTGGAGGTACTACTTGCTAGCAGTGGGGTCCTTGGCAAATGTTTATGTCTCATAGGCTCAAGTTTCTCATCTCTAAAATGAGAACAATACCCAGACCCTTAAATAAGACTAGAAAGCATGTGTGCCCTTTATCTGCCATTCGGCTCTTCCTTCATATTACGCCATCTTACTATACTTTCACTGTTTGGATTCCTTTAGGTCATTCACAGTTTTAAAATAGTGACTTCTGCTAACTGGAAGAAAACAGGAAGAAAAATAGGGAAATATAAAATGCGTATTGTATGTTTATCCATAACACTGTTGGTTGGAAACAAATGAATACTGTCAAACAAACGCAGGCAACATTCCCTCCCCACCCCGCCCCGGTGGAGCTTGACTGTCAGTTCAGCTAAGTTCCTGCATGAAGCCACAAGGCAATGTAGGAAAAAACCCACAACAAAGCCTTTCCCAATACGGATTTAAAAGAGGGTGGGAGTGGGTCTTCCTACTCTAAAATTACAGACATTAGAGGAGAGGTTAGCAGTGAAGGACACACAGAAGGGTGACTTATTGTGCTGGCTCTAACGGCTGTGTTAGAAACGGGAAAGGGAGAATTCCTGAGTCCATCCACCACGGAGGCATTAAAGGCATCCTTGGCCCACAGGTGGCAGTGGCAGTCAGAGCACAGATTTGATGGCTTAGTCAATTTAGTTAAGTGGAATGGACATGACCTAAGCTAACTTTCACTGCCCACACTCAGCCTCATAAGACTTCCCCCCAAAACCATATATATATTGACCCAGAACCAAAGAGTCACACAAGACTTCTCAGTGACATTTAATGGACTTCAAGGGACAGGTGGCCAGGTAGCATTATTTCCCACTCCATGCTCAGTTCCGGCAAGAATCACAATGCTAGAGCGGATGGAAAATGTCCTTTGGAGTGGATCTGCACCCAGCCCTTCAGATGGTATCACCATTAGAAAGTAGCACTTTCTTCTATTGCAAGCTCGCACTGGGGTGGTGGAGGGTAACACCCGTGGCACCAGCTTTGGTGTCTGTGTGGTCCTTTACCCCCGAGACC